ATATATATATATATATATATATATATATACCAGCATATATATATATACACATATACATGCTCTCATGCCTAGCTCCTTTCTTGCTGGATTTCTCCCTACGTTATATACATGTATATATGTATATACACATATACATGCTAAAATATCACCAAGACTTCTTAAGCCATGGCTTAACCTTTGGAGAAGTCCTTGACTTTTCCAAGCAGTAGCTTTTGTGCTAGTAGCTGAAGTCCATTATGTTTTCCTGCAGCCTGCAGCAACCCCAGCTTGTGTGAAGTTGACATGAAACTCTCCAGCCCAAGCACCATGAGGCAGCTGAAGATGCCTTTTAGAATGTTTTTCTGTAGCAGTTTCTTTCCACTTCTGTGCTTGGCTCCTTGCCCCTTGTTTTGCAGGTAAGGAATCCATAAGTTCTCTGGGGCAAACAGACATAAAGAATGGCTGTTTTTACAGCAAAAACATATAGTTAATTGTGGCAAAAGTAGAATATAAAATTTAGTCTCCTAATAACTTGTAGTATATCCTGGTGGTGTTAACTATATTTAAATCTTTATTTTTATTCATTTGTTTCTTTATTTATTTATTTACTTATTTTATTGTGAGACAAGCTTTCTTTATATAGCCCTGGCTGTCCTGGAACTTCCTCAGTAGACCATGCTGGCCTCGAACCCATTGAGATTTGCCTGCCTCTGCTTCCTGAGTGCTGGAATTAAATGTGTCTGCCACCACCACCTAATTATATTTAAATCTTCATGCCACTGTTGGCAGAGTTATCTAATCTGTGATAGCTGTGAATGCAGCCCAACAAAATGGCAAATTTACTTAAAACAGTATGAGATTTATTATTTTATTAAGGATTTTTATTTATTTATTTATGTGTGTGCATCTGTGTATATATGCTTTGGTGTGCTTGGGTGCCCATGGAGTCCAGAAAAGTGTGTTGAATCCTTTGGAGTTAGAGTTACAGGTGCTATGAGCTATAGGATGTATGTGCTGGGAACTGAACTCAGGTGTTCTGGAAGAATAGGAAGCATTCTTCAACGCTACACCCTCTCCAGCCTCGAGATTTACATTTTTAATATGTATTTTGTGTAAGTCTGTGTGTGGGTGTGCATGTGGGTCAGAGGACAACTTGCAAGAACAGGATCCATTCCTCCGCCACGTGGGTCAGACTTGTAGGTAAGCATCTTCCCCAGCTTGAGGGCCCATTATAAAATTTTGTTTTTAATACTTTTTTTTTCTTTTTTTTCCAAGACAGGGTTTCTTTGGGTAGCCCTAGGTATCCTGGACCTCATTCACAATGCCTTTTCAAACAATATTCAATTGTGCAGTTCTTGAGCATGGACTTCGTAGGTGGTGTCATGTTGCAGTTTCAATGTTGGATATGCCCACTAGTAGGCCCGATTAATTCCTATTTTGCCTTTCCCTCCATGATTTCAGTGACACCTGCTATCTCACAAATATGGAATCATTTGGTACTTGTCCATTTGTAATAGGCTTATTTCATTTAGAATAGGTTCATTCATGTTGTAGCATGGGACAAGATTTTTTTAAAGGCTGAATACTATTTGTATTTTCTTTATTATCTCTCAATAGGCATGTAGGTTGCTTCCACATCTTGGGATATTGTGATCTGATACCTCTTTAAGACTTTATCTTTTGGACGCATGCCTAGAAGTGAGATTACTAGGTCATATAATTTAATTTTCATCTTTTGAGAATCTGCCATTTTGTTTTGCATAGTGGCTGCACCTTATTATATCAGTAATGCATAAGGGTTCCATTTTTCTCCACAGGAGCATGTCTTAGGAAAATGTAGCAATTAACTATGTGTAGTGGATTTTTTTGCCTGCCTGCCAGCTCCCAAATGAACAAAGACATGGAGACTCTTTATTAATTATAAAAGCGCGGACAATGGCTTACACTTGTTACTAACTAGATCTTACAACTTAAACTAACCCATTTTTATCAATCTACCTTTTGTCTCATGGCTTTATTACCTTTACCCTGTACTGCCCATGCTCCTTCCTCTCCGTCTGGCTGGTGACTCCCCATGTCTCCACCCTTCTTCCCAGAGTCTTCGCTGTCCCGAAAATTCTGCCTAGCTGTTGGCTGTTCAGCTTTTTATTAAACCAATCTGAGTGATAAATATTCACAGTGCATAAAAAGATTATTCCACAACATTTCCCCCTTTTTGTCTAAATAAAAAAAGGAAAGGTTTTAACTCTAATAATAAAACTATAAACAATAAGAACAATTATCAGGTAAGAATTATATTTATGCCGGGTGGTAGTGGTGCACGCCTTTAATCCAAGCACTCAGGAGGCAGAGGCAGGCAGATCTCTGATTACAAAAAAAAAAAAAAAAGAATTATATTTACAATGTCCAGTCCATTTTTATTTGGCATATTTGGAGAAAATACTCCACTATTTATTCTATCTTTAGTTAATTAATTAATTTTTTGTTTTTTGAGACAGGGTTTCTCTGTAACTTTGGATCCTGTCCTGGAACTTGCTCTGTAGACCAGGCTGGCCTTGAACTCACAGAGATCCACCTGTCTCCACCTTCTGAGTGCTGGGATTAAAGGGATGCACCACCATTGCCCGGCTTATTTATTCTATTTCCATGAGTCCAAAGCTCTGTACCCAACTTACCTTCTATCATAACTAAGGAAAACTATGACTATCTAGCCTTCAACTCTATCAAAGATCCCAGAAGGATATACTACCTAAGTAAACAGGAAGTGTAGAGCAAGCAACTTCCAAAACTGAAAGAAAGGACAAAAACATCTGGCTGTCTGGACAGTCATCCAAGGTTCCTCTCAAATGTTGGAGCATCCATCTTCAGCCTACAGGCCTAGGATATCTGATAGATTTTTCTGTGAAGCAGGAATTTTGAAGGACTGTCCCACCTTGTCTTTGCAAAGTTTGGCAGACACTTTCCTTTGTGTCCTGCTTGTACAATTTGGACATCATTTTGTCAGCAGCTGAGGCAAGGCCAGTTTCTTTGCCTAGTACCTAGCTTTTGCTACAAAGAACGCATACTCCATAAGGAGGTTCTTTGATGCCCATTATTGTCTCTGAAGTAGATTGGTGCTGCTAGGAGCAGGCATGTCTCAATGTCATAAAAAGCCTTAGGTCATCAAAACGTCTTAAATACCACATTCTGTAGAGCTCTTAAGTTTTTGAAGACCACTTGTCTATCTAAAATATATCTCTGTTTGACCTTGAAAACATACATAACTACAAGTTTGGTTGTGATAGGTGACTAACTACTAACCTGTATTTCCTAAATAGTTTGTAATAGTAACTTTCAAGGACTAAAATTTATATTACATTGTTAAATGAGCTGTATATGTACAATACTTTAAACACAGTAGAAATGTAGGTCTGCTGGTGTTTGCGGTTGCTGCTCTTTAACATGTGGTTCCTCCTATTGGTGAAATTATTAAGGCCACGCTGCGTAGTTAAAAGGAAGGTTTATTTAGTGACGTAACTTACAAATGAAGGGATAGGTAGGTTGCAGGGTCTGGCAAAGATGTAGCGCAGTCCAGTGGTGTTCTCTGGAGAACTCTGCTCAGTCTACCTCCAGCGACCAGGGTCCAGGAACCAAGAGAAGAGGCACATCCGGATCTTGGGGCTTCAGGGTCCTCTCTGGGCCCCCCCCCTTGTAGGCGTGACAGTTACCAAAGCCTGAATGGGGGTTGGAACTTCCAGATCAAAGCTGGAATGGCTACCCACTACATCCTCTTGGTCCATTTGAAACTTCTCTTTTTCCTTTGTATTCTGATCAGTCTGGATAGGGCAAATAAAAGGTGAGGACTTTGGAGAAAGGAACCTTTCCCTCTTGAGGCCCACTATAGCTCTCCTCAGGATGTGCCCTATCCAGATCCTGCTATCGCTCAGTTTTCAGTTCAGAAAGGCACTCCACAGTCTGACGGCTGCAGCTCAAAAGTGAAAGTCAAGGTCTGGGTGAATGTCCATGGCATTTTCAGTATGACCAGTGCGTCCTTAGTAGAAGTGCACAAGTCCCAGAAAAATGAGGAGCCGATGGAGACTGATCAGAATGCAAAGGGAAAAGAGAAGACGCGAGTGGACCAGGAGGAACCACATGCTAGAGAGCAGCAGCCACAAACACCAGCAGAAAACAAAGGCAGAGCCTCCTTTCCAAAGCAACATAGGTACAGGATGTTCTAACAAAAATAACCTTAAATTTGTATCAATATACAAAAATACCTTAAACAAGAGTAGAAACAGATATAACAAAAAAGAACCTTAAATTTGTATCAGTATATATAAAATCCATACCAATGTAAAATATTTAAGACTAGTAGTTGCTTTTTTAGTTTAAAAGTAGATTCAATTCAATAATCTACCCTTTTATCGTATTATTTCTATATTCCCCTTTTTCTTTTCAGAATGAGATCCCTGATTCTATTCTCCTTTGTTCAACTTTTTTCCTGACCATTTTCTTTTTCTTTCTTTCTTCCTTCCTTCCTTCCTTCCTTCCTTCCTTCCTTCCTTCCTTCCTTCCTTCCTTCCTTCCTTTTTTTGGTTTTTCAAGACAGGGTTTCTCTGTTTAGCTTTGTGCCTTTTCTGGAACTCACTTGGTAGCCCAGGCTGGCCTTGAACTCACAGAGATCCACATGGCTCTGCCTCCCGAGTGCTGGGATTAAAGGCATGAGTGCCACCACCGCCCAGCCTATTTTTTTTTTAATCTTTATGTGCATTGGTATATGCATGTATGTCTGTGTGAGGGTGTCAGATCTTAGAGTTACAGACAGTAGTTAGCTGCCATGTGGGTGCTGGGAATTGAACCTGGGTCCTCTGGTAGAGCAGTTGGTGCTCTTAATCACTGAGCCATCACTCCAGCCCCTCCTGACCATTTTCAATAACAACTTGTAGCTAATCCCCCAAGTGATGACAAATATCCATAACCCACTCAATGACCAAAAAACTCCCATCCCACCTCTTGGGAATGTGGGTGTCGTGTTTTCTAGGTTGCTTCCTGTTGTCTGGGGGTGATGGCATCTTTAAGGGACCCTGAGAAAACTGAGGTAATATCAAGTACTGGGAGAGCTAGCTGTATCATCTGTTGTTCAATCTCTGTGCAAAGGGAAAGTACAAGGCTTATCTGCAGTCCTGGCTAGAATAGTCTGTGGGGCTGAACCATCTTAGCCAGCAGCGTTAAAGCTGTTCTGGATGCCAAACTTTGAGGAAACAGCAACAGAGGCACTCTGAGATGCCTGACCACCTGGGTCACCAGTTTTCACTGGTGTCTGGTCACCTTGTTCTGAAAACATACACATTTTCAAAGGTAACATATATATTTCTATTAACACAAGAATGAAATATGCAGTGTGTACAAGTCAGTTAAAGATGATTTTTTGTTTTATGTTTGAGCAGGTAAAATATACATTCCCTGTCCTGTAGTTGTTTTAGGTTTTGTTTTGCTTTGTTTTTATTGTCTATAGCCAGGATTTTCAGGGGGTGTCCCCTGATCAAACCTGATCCTCTTTAACTTTGAATTAATCCATAGCCTTTCATTTTCTGTAGAAACAAAACCATAACCTCTTCTCTAACACAACATATTTATTGACTTCCAGTTTTAAGACATTTTAAAAATATATAAGTTGGTTTAATTCAACAGTTTCTATATTCCAATGTTTCTCAGTAGCTTTTTTTTTTTTTTTTTTTTTTTGCACATTAGCATTTAAGAAGTTCAAAGTTGGGGTTGGGGATTTAGCTCAGTGGTAGAGTGTTTGCCTAGCAAGCACAAGGCCCTGGGTTCGGTCCATAGCTCCGGAAAAAAAAAAAAAAAAGAAGTTCAAAGTTAACAAAATAACATATAGCATCCAGACTCCCTGTGTATTTTACTTCCTTAAGTGGCTTATTTTTTTATTACTCCACTCTCTCTTTAAACACTTCATTTTATTATTTTTAATCAATTTTTTTCTGTGACTATCTATACCCATTTTTCCCCCTTAAGCCTATGCACAATGTTAAACACACTGTGACCTGTTTAGAGTTTTTCTCCATCTGAACTTGTTTTTCTGCGTATCAGTAACCTTTTCTGTCTGCATGAGCAAAACCTTAAACCTGCCATGAGGCTTAGCTCATGACCTACTGGTGGCTTAAGCATGCAGACAGCTGTAGGGAGACATGTCACTCTGTACTGAAGCCGGCATAAGACTTGAGACTAGGAAGCCGCATTTGACTCTTTTTTTTGCAGGGGTGGGGGGTTGTTTAAAACGTTATTTTAAAAGTTTTCTCAGGTCTTATGTAGAAATATGTGGCCCCACATTGCTCACCATGTGAGCATTCAGATTCACTTCTTGGAATCCTGGTAGATATAAGCAGATAATACCCCGGTCCTCCCAATGTCCTGACATTATCTTACGTAAAGCCCACTGAGAGAAAACTCCTCCTCCCTCCCTGTAGCTAGAGTTTTCCTGCCTTGCCCACAGTCAGGACAAATCTCTCTCACCCTCCAGTCCCACAGCCACTCAGACCCAACCAAGTAAACATAGAGACTTATATTGCTTACAAACTGTATGGCCGTGGCAGGCTTCTTGCTAACTGTGCTTATACCTTAAATTAATCCATTTCCATAAATCTATACCTTGCCACGTGGCTGGTGGCTTACCGGCATCTTCACATGCTGCTGGTCATGGCGGCGGCTGTAGTGACTCTCCGCCTCAGCCTTCTGCTTCCCACAATTCTCCTCTCTCCTTGTCCCACCTACTTCCTGCCTGGCCACTGGCCAATCAGTGTTTTATTTATTGACCAATCAGAGCAATTTGACATACAGACCGTCCCACAGCACCTCCCTCTCTTTCTCTCTATTCCCATGAGGTGTGCAGCTCCCCCTCTCTTTCTTTCTCTCTTTCCTCTTTCTCCTTCCCTCCATTTGGAGGCAGATTTTTCTGTCCTACCTGCCAGCTCCCAATAACCACATGGAGATGTCTTATTAATTATTAAAGCTTGGCCAATAGCTTACAATTGTTACTAACTAGCTCTTACAACTTAAATTAACCTATTTTTTTTTTTTTTTTATTATCAATCTACTTTTGTCTTGTGGCTTTATTCTCTTTACTCCGTATTGCCCATGCTGCTTCCTCTCTGTCTGTCTGGTGACTCTCCCTGTCTCTACCTTTCTTCTTCCCAGCGTCTTGTCTGTCCCCAAAATTCTGCCTAGCTATTGGCCATTCAGATCCCTGCCCCCCCACCACCTTTTTTATTAAACCAATCCAAGTGACAAATCTTCAGTGTACAAAAAGATTATTCCACAATTATGTGAGAAGTTTTGCTTTGCTCTGAGTAAATTTCACTGACTCAGACCATTTATAAAAATGTTTTTATTTAGCTCAGACCTGAGTCTTGATAATGAATAGGGGTAAGAATATCAGCCTAAGGGTCTAAAGAGTTGGCTCAGATGTTAAGAGCACTTGCTGCTCTTCCAGAGGACCCAGGTTTGATAGGAGCTCATAATGGTCTCTAACTCCAGTTCCAATGCCCACCAATGTGACCTTGGTGGGCCATCCTGCATGTAGTACACAGACATACATGCAGGCAAAATACACATAAAGTACTTAAATAAAAGAATATCAGCCTTAAACAGCTCATGATTGTGAGGGACTGGCGGAAGCTGCCATGTAGGAGAGAACTGACTGATGTGGCAATGTAAGTTACCTGACAGGTCTGGGATGGCCCTGGATCTTTTGTTTACAATCTGTCATAGTCTCTTCTCTCATTTACCTCAGAGGTAGGAGTGACTGAGATTTCCTATCATAGGAGGTGTGAGGCCAAGATGTGGGTCGTACCTAAGGCTAGTCATTTATGTTCTAAATATGACTTACTAGCATTATAAATGTTTTGGAAATTGCTCAGTGTTGTGAGAAGAAAAGAGAGTTAAAAACATGGACTCTGCCTTCAGCCTTGGCAGTTTGAGTCCCAATAAACCTTTCTTTCTACCCATGGGGTGTTTAGGTGGTTTCACTTCAAACTCGATTGCAGAGGTCATATTGGGCTACATGACATTCTGTCTAAAAAATAATAATAGTAATAAATAATAATAATAATAATAATAATAATAATAAACATTTTGAAAGAGGATGGGAGCCAGGTGATGGTGGTGGTGCATGCCTTTCCCAGCACTCAGGAGGCAGAGGCAGGTGGATCTCTGCGTTCAAGGCCCACCTAGTTTACAGAATGAGTTCCAAGACTTCCAGGGCTACACAGAGAAACCCTGTCTGGCGGAGGGGTGGGGGAGAGAAAAAAAAAAATAAAGAACATGGACTCTGGAGTGAGAATGCTTTGAATGAATCTTAGCTTCTACAAGAAATTAGGTACTTAAGATCTCTTAGTTTCTATGAACCTCAGTTTCTGAAAACTAAAATCATAATAATCTAATGAACTGCAATATCACTTCTCAGTACATACCTGAGAAAGCAGGGCTGGAGAGATAGCTCAGTGGTTAGGGTCACTAGCTGCTCTTCCAGTGAACCTGGGTTGATTCTCAACACCTATGTGGAAGTTCATAAACATCTGTAACTCCAGTTCCAGGGCATTTGACACCTTCTACTAGCCTCCAAGGGCACCAGGTACACACATGGTACAGAGACGTACATGCAGGCAAAACACCCATACATATAAAAACAATGAAAAATGTTAACACTTTTTCCATAATATAGTGATGTTAGCAGCCCCAGATTTGTAGGGTCCTAGTACTAAATTAATTAATAGCCCACCCAGTGCTTGGCACAAACCTGAGCCTCTGGTAAGTGCTATGAAAAGGGTTTTTATTTTTTATTTATTTTTTTTCTTTTTTCGAGACAGGGTTTCTCTGTGTAGTTTTGGTGCCTGTCCTGGCTCTTGCTCTGTAGACCAGGCTGACCTGGAACTCACCGAGACCTGCCTGCCTCTGCCCCCAGAGTGCTGGGATTAAAGGTGTGTGCCACCATCGCCCAGCTGAAAGGGGTTTTTAAACATGGAGCTTTGGCCCCGTCTTGCCAGGATGTATAGGTTATTTCCTGTCCCTGTGTACCAGACCACCAGCCTGAGAGTTTTAGGTGTTACTAACAGCCCTACTCCCTAGGTGGGATGAGTGTGTAGATGCAAAAAAACATAGCTCTTAGCTCAGAGAGGTTCTTAAGCCAAATATGAGTGATGATGGCCCAGCAACATGGGTTCAGATTGCCCCAAGAGACACGTTTCACTGTGGAAGTAGTTACATGAGATTTTTTTAAATTATTATTTTAGAACAAAGAAAGTCACAGAATCAAGGCATTTCCCAAATGGCACGGAGTACAAGTAGGTGGATTACAGCAAAGTGGTTTTCTGTATGCTGATGAGATGTGTAGCTTTTGGCTTAGTGGAAGCTGGTAGTCAGCTAATAATGCATTTTATTTTATGTTTTATGTTTAGGGTCGTTTTGCCTGCATGTAACGTGTGTGCACCATTTCAGTCTGTGTCTGCAGGGGCTAGAGAAGGCATCCGAGCCCCGAAAACTGGAGTTACAAACTGTTGTGAGGCTCTGTGTGGGTGCTGGGAACCTGGTGTTCTGGAAGGGCAACCAGTGCTCTTAACCAGAGTCGTCTCTGCAGCCTCTGTGAATACATTTTAAAGGTTTTCCTCAGGCACAAGGGTATAATGTTTGACACATGGGTGGGCAATAAATGGCTTCCAAAGGAACTAAAAAAGCCCACGATAATTTGGCTCTGGTCTGCCACATTTTAACTCTTCATAATCTTGAAGTGAAATTATTTTGCCTTGTAGAATAGACTCTTTAACACCGTGCAACATCCTTTTTTTTTTTCCCCCTAAGAGGTGGGGTTTACAGGTGTGTGTGGTGCGGTGGGGGGGACACTACGGGGTGAGTACACTGTGGGTCGCAGGCCACCCGGCGCGCGTCTCAAAGCGAGCAGGCTCCGCGTACTGCGACTGTTTCGGCTGAAGTGCGTGGAGACGGGGGACCAACCGACCCGCGTGGAAAGTCACAGAGACCGCGGGTTCCGTACCTGTCGGAGCGGCGGGGGCCGAGCTCGGCGGGCTGAG